AGTCCCTCCAGCACCCCCCCGCCCCACTGTGCCAGCATGCCAGGGCATAGGAGGCACTTCTGGCTGCCGCTTGCGTGGGTGACAGGGCCCACCTGCCCTCTTGAAAGCCAGAGGGAGCGGGCAGCGGCCCACCAAGGCTGCAGTCGGTCCCCTCCCCGTTTCTTTATCCCTCCCCTCTCCCCACTGCCGAGGCCGTCAGGGCTCTCCTTTGACTCCAAAGGAGGCAGGCGGGCAGTTTGGGGGAGAGGGTGGCCCACTCTTTCCAGGCAGTTCTGTGGAGCTGGGATCCACCCAGGGGCTGCTCCAGGATGTGGAGGCCAGAGAGAGACCTGGAGAGAAGGCCGCCGCACACCAGCATGTCAGGGAACGGCTTCCGCTGCCCAAAGAGACATCCTGCGGGAGGCCGTCCAGGGGGCGATGGGATCGAGAGCCTCAGGGTCGAGGGAGCCCCCCTCTCTCGAGGTCCGTCAGCCAGAGGGAACGTCCTCTGGGGAGCCGGACTCCCTGGGAAGGGCCTGAGTGAAAGAGAAGACCTTCTGGGTTCTGATGTTCCAAGGCAGGGGTGGGGGAGTGGGGGGTGCTTCCGGGGTGCTTCCCCTCCAAGACTCAGCTGGCCTTGGCTGTGGGCTCGGTTTGGGGCCAGGCTCTTCACGTGGGCCTTAGAGGTGGTAAGCCGTCCTAGCTTGGTCTGGGGGCTGGGTTGTGGGCGTGAGATGCTGGCCTTCGTGTTGACCCTGTTTAAATTGCTTTCATACATTCTCTTGTTCCGTTTACTGTATGGACCATCTGATGTGGGGGGTGGGCGGGCAGGGCCGAAGTCCTGTAGGAAAGGAAGAGAGGGAAACCTTTTCCAGGTGAAGGACAAGGTGTGTCCCTTCCCCACGGCTTTTGCCCAGCACCCACCTTCTGCTGCCTAGCGTGTGCAGCGGAAGGGCAGCCGCAATCCTCCCGCCAGGACCTTGGGAGACTTTTCCGAAACGTTCCCCAAGGACCTGGATGTGGACAGCAGCGACAGCACAGGCCGATGAGTGGCTGGGGGTTGGCACGGGCTGGGACCGGGAAGGAGAACCTGTGGCTCTCCAGACAACAATGGACTCCAGAGCCCATCATCCCCCACTATCCCTATGCTCGCTGGGCCTGGTGGAAGCTGCAATCCAATTGTCTAGAAAAGGTCACCTCTGTGGTCTCCCCCAACTGTGCAAGGACTGAGGACCCACATAGCACATAAAATGGTAGCCAATGTTTTGTGGAACCTGAAAGATGAAGAGATCCTCTCTCTCTCTCTCTCTGTGTGTGTGTGTGCGCGCGCGCAAGCTCCAGGTGTCAGCAGGAAAGGTGGGGGGGGTGTCCATGCAGGTGCTTCCTCACAACCTGTCGGCCGTCCCCTCTCGTCCTTCTGCAAGGCTGAAAGGAGTGGGCAGAACTGCTAAACCCCACCGGCCTCTTCTTGCTGCCGGGCTCTCTTTTATGCAAAACTGGGATAGGGTGGGGGGAGTTGGGGAGACACAGTCCTAGGATTGAAGCATTTGAAACCCAGCATAAACTCCCCCCCCCAATCAACACCAGCACTCGATAGCGAAGTGAGATAGGTACCTGGCTGTGAAGCCAGAGGCTGGGCGTTGGATTCCCCACGGTGTGTCCTGGGAGAAAAGCCAGCCTGTGGAGCCTTAGGCCAGCTGCACGGTGGCTCCAGGGTGGCCCCGGAAGAAAGGAAGGGAAACCCCTTCTGAATACTTTCTAGCTGGAAAACTCTGGAAAGAGTTGCTCGCCATGAGTCACAACCGACTTGATCACACCCAATTGTTGCTATCATCCTCACTGCCATCCCCTCCCCCACAGAGCAATGATATGTGGAGACCAGAGGTTGGAGTCCCCCCCCCGCCAG